TCATAATCAAGTTATTTTGTGTCATAGACATTTTGGACATGCAACTTTAGATTTTATTTCTAGATTGTCTAAAAGTGATCTTGTTACTAATTTGCCTCAAATTAGCTTTCAAAAAGAAAAATTATATGATGCTTACCAACTAAGTAAACAAATTAAAAGTTCTTTCAAAAATATTTCTAATGTTACTACTGATAGATGTTTGTAATTGATTCATATGGATTTTTTTGGACCTATGTGACATGATACACTAAGTGAAACTTATATGTCTTTGTTTTAATATATGATTTGCAAGATATACATAGACCATCCTACTTGCAAAAAGAATAATGCTTTTAATGAGTTTGCTACTAGGTGCAAGAAAGTTAAAAAAAATGAAAAGGCTACTGTATTGTTTCCTTAAGAATTGATTGAGAAAGAGAATATGACAATGCGCTTTTTGAAGAGTGTTGCAATGAGAATAGAAGTTCCCACAAATTTTCATCAAATCTAGATAGTATATGAAAACATCGCACTCACCAGCAAACAGAGGAAGCAAGCAGCAGCAAAAATCTAGAATAGTATATGAAAACAAAAAAAACAAAGGAAACAAAAGAAAGAGGATCACCATACCTTTGTCGCATATGTCCAGTGGATAAACGGGAATTGCAGCCACATCTGTACAAGAAAGCAGAGGGAAAAAAGAGTTGTCGAACTCATAAAGAGAGAAACCAAAATTCCGGTTTAGTGGAAGAGTGGTGGCAACATTTATTGACAAACACACCCATACCCTTGGCCTTATAGGTGCACACACAGTTAAAAATCTAGTGAATATAAAAAGGAGGGGTATTGTAGTCTTTTTGGAATAAACTAATCCTAACACCGCTACTGGGATTCAATTTAACTGACGAACCATCATTGTTGCCATACAAATAAATAGGTCGGTGATATCCTCTTCCTTGCATGAATGAGAGGGAAAAAGTATTTGTTGCTTTTAGCCAAGAAAATATCAGAAAAAAATGGCAGAAAAACGAAAGATATCAACCATTGCAAACTGCAGGAGGAAAAGGAGGGAAATGAAAAAGAAGACAATGGGTGTGAGCACCCAAAATTTTCATACCTTTCATTTTGACTTACTTGCTTGTATATATAGTGAATGATGACGGACAGTTGTACCTTATTGCTTCTTTTAATTGATTGCCTAAAGTTTTGTGGCACGAGATATTTATGGCAAGAAAGAGATTTTAATACAAGAGACTTCAAACCCTAGCTTTGACAAAGAAAAAAAGGTTTTGCTCATTTTTGCTCACTTTTAGATGTTTGCAAGTTGTGTTGTGATCCGATAGTTAGTTATATATTTTCTTTGATTTCATTTACTTGCCTTGAATTCTTGGTTGTTTTATTAGTTGAATCATGATTTTGACTTATTTTCTTATTTTACTTGGTGCATGTTTCATTTGATACATGTTATGTTTCATAGTGCATAATACTAGTGTGATCGATTAGTGAGGTGTGTGCAATAAATTTGGAGGATTAGAAGGAGTTTTGTGCAAAAGGAATTATGTGACAAAAGGTGTTAAGAGATGATTGGAGGAGTAATAGATATTTGAGTGCTTAAGAGAGACAATTAAATAGACTTCACTTGGATTTGTGCCACTTGTCAAACACCAAGCCAATCTTGACCAAGACCTTAACCAAGATTAAGCTTAAAATTTATCCAACTCAAGTCAATCACCATTTTCTTCCTTTGCCTTCCATGATGGACGAAATTTGAGAGGAGAAGAAGAGAAAAATACTCCATTTTCAGCCTTGATCTCTTGCTTGAATCATGGAAGAAAAACCAAGATCAACCTCAATCCACTCCAATCAACCTTGAGATAAGCTTGAGGGGAAGCTTTTGGAGAAGTTTTGGAGGAAGAAACCCTTGAGTACTTCTTGCTTGGCTGTCCATCTAAGTTTTGGAGGTAAAGAGGAGAACTTTGCTAGAAATCCTCCCTTATCTTTGAGTTTCTATGATATATGATGTTATAGAACCTAAAGGAAGGATTTGTATGGTGGATTTCATGATTTTCATATTGTGTTGTGATTTTCCAGCGTTGTTTTGTGGGACTTAAGAGGTCAACTTGATTGCCACCTTATCTTTTCCACTTGTATTTATATCTACTTGATGGATGATACTTTATAAGGTAAAAGGCATGACTTTTATGATAGCTATCATGGTATTGTTAGGTTTGGTGAAATTTCTAGCCTTGATGTAGTTACTTGAAGCTCTATATATACATGGAGTTGTGATGGTTAAATGTTATGTATATGCTTGATTTAGTGAGTTGGTAGCCTGGTATGTATATGCTTGATTTGAGGATGTTTTATGGTGAGAATGAAGCCTTGAAAATGGCTGGAAATTAGGGAAAATAAGGGAAGTGCTGCTGAAAATTTTTCCCACAGGAGACTTTGAGCAGTTTTGGGAAATCTGTTATATCTTGGTGTAGAAAATCTGAATTGAGTTCCGTTTGTTGCATTTGAAACTAGACTCATAGATCTTTTTACCGTCTAAAATTCATAGGTTGGTTCACTTTCTATAAATACCAGCAAAATTTCAAAGTGGGCTGAAAATCCAAGACTGTCCTGTTTTTGCACTTAGTTGAGCAGTGAATTGAGGCTAAGATTTGACTAATTTATGGGCTGAATTTTAGAACATGTCTTCTAGAGAGTTGTAGTCTTCTGAGTCTATTTTCTAACGATATAAGATTTATGATTTTTAGACTTACAAAACTCAAGTTATAACTTTTCAAAGAGCGTTACAAAAGCTGGAATTTTTCTTATGAAATGACAAAAAACTTGGAAGGGTCTTGGAAACATTTTTCTGGTTTTTAAACCTAACTTTCTCGATTACTTGCACTCCATTTCACACTTGGATCATGTATTTATTATGTTTATATGCTATAGATAAGTCTAGATTAGTTGGTTTTGTAGCCGAGTGTAAGAACCCATTTTCCTTATGAGTTATGGAGTTGATTTGGGCTGTTTTGCCATAAAGCTTAGCTTGAAAAATTGGAGGAAAAATTGAAGGAAAAACAGGGAAATTGTTGTCCATTTCATTTCTTGAAGGATAAGTGAGTAAAAGTGGACATGGAGGTGTGCTTTGTAATCGATTTGGACTTCACTTGTTTAGGAATGTTTGAGTTAACCTTGGAGGTGATATGTAAGTTGAAATTTTGCCAAAATTATTATATTTTGCAAGGTGAAAGTAATGACCATTTTAAAACATGATTTTTAGTCGCGTATGTCACGTTTTAAACTTAAAAGTTCCAATCGTTTTCTTTCCAAAACAAAAGCAAGTGTGCATGTATTTTACTTAGGGTCACTAAGCTTATGAAGTCTATGTATATAAGTTCTATTCACATGATTTCCTTGTGATATTCACAAGTGAGGGTTGGATATTTGGAAACCCAACTTGATTGTATTCTGTTATTCAATATTTGATCGCAGATTTAGAATCCGGCCAAGGAGCTAGGCCTCAACCTGATTTTGCTAAACACTAATCGTTGGTGAGTGTTCCTTGCATGTGTATGATTAAAATGACTACGTGAAATGTTGTGAATGTTGCCGGAATGTTAATGCTTTCCAATGATTGCTAAATGGATTTTCAATGGACGAGTGTTTACCTTCTCGCACTCGACCCAAGCAAAAGTAAATTTTCAATAATTGAATGCTACTTGTGCATAAATGTAAGCTTTTTGGCTGAACTGGGCCCTTGCCCTTCTTTGCCAATCGACTCGAGCCAGAAGCGGACTTGGTCGGGCAGCTGGTGACCCTGGGACAATGTTTGGTATACTCGAGTATTACCACAAAGTCTGGTGGAGAACTGGCCAGTGAATTCAATGCAATGAAATCAATGAATGAATAACAAGAACACTGAAGGAGTTTTCACTTGCAAATGTTTTCTAATGTCAGAGGGATAAGGAAAATGGTTGGTGAATGAATGAATAAATGGCTTGAATAAATGGCTCCAAGTGAGCACGTATCTTTTCAATAAATGAATGATTGATTTTTTAATGACTGCCTATTACTGTGTCAAATGTGCAAAGTGCTAAGTGTAAATGTTCCCATATTTACCTGCTTGTTTGCTTGTTTGGGAACCTCACTGAGCTTTTAGCTCATCTCATTAGTTTGTTTTCCTTACAGGGGTGGAGGCTGGAGCAAGTAACCGTGAACTAGTGTATATAATCTCTTGTACTTGTACTTTTGCAGATGTGATGTATTTAGAACCTTTAGAATGTAATCCTATGTTTTACTTTTGAATTGTAAATTAAGTTTGAATTGTTGGTTGGAAATGGAACTTTTATGTTAATTTCGAGGCTTGAAAAGCTATTTCAAGAACGTTAGTGAGTGAGTCCTGGCGAGAGTTGGGTAGGCGGTCCGCCAAACCCTTAGGTACGCCCTAGAGGGAGGTGGGTCGTCACAATGGGAAATGGGAGAAACTGATGGAGGGGAGGAGGAAGAAATCAGCATCAAAATTAGAAGGTTAAAGGAAAATTGCAAAAGACATTAGCATCTAGAAGAAAGTTGTCTAATATCAACATTAGCAAGAATACTAGATAACTTCAATAACAGACTCATTGAGTCCACTATTCTCGATTTTTCACATTCAACATTGATTTGTTAATCATGATCAGTTAGGGGAAACAATCAAACACCTCTTATGCTTTAAAACTCGATACTTCAACTATCAAAAGCAGAATTAGAGACAAAGTCCAGCTTCGGACAATAGAAAATGGAGCAGATCTGCAACTACTTTGTCTCATGAAAAATTAAACAAAAGCTCGGTGTTGTATTAGTCTTTTTTCCTAGTTCTTAACTTCATTGGAATTCTATGGAATACTTCAACATGAGGGCACGAGTTTCCCTTTATCATTTAGTTATACTATCAGGAAAAAAAACACAAAAAAGAAAAGAGAAGACATAAATAAAAAAGGTAACCACGTAATAGGTAAACTTAAATGATAAAAGAGAAACAAAAAACCTGAGAAAAACAACATACCTTCAATCATTTATCCTCCATTTCTTGAAGACATAATAATAGTGATAACGAGATTAAAAAAACAGACTTGATAACAAATCTCCCAAAACAAAAACAGCCACAGAGCACAAAAAATTTGAAACATAAGCCATTGCACATACCCACAAGGCTCAATGCTGAAAATGTTGCATCTTTTTTCCTTCTTACTTTATCCGACATACACCTTGAATTAGGAAATGTTGACCAGATCAAATTTATTAGTAAGACTTTGAAAAACTCCAAGGAAAAAAAAAACTCCAAAATTAACTCATTTTGAAGAAAAAAAACACACAGAAAGACTTCAAAAATACTCTAAGGAAAAGAAAAATAGAGGTTTCATTTTTGGATCGAAAAAAAAATAGAGAGACCCTACAAGTCTTTACCTTGAGAAAAGAATCTCCACGATTCTTCGTGCTTGCTGATAGTCTTGATCTCTCAACCTGTAGCAAATGCATGAAACTTAATAGAGAATAAAGAAAATTTAATCAAGGGGCAAAAAAAGCATACACAAAATTAAAATGGAGAAAGCAACGGACTTGAGAGACAAACAAAAAAAAAGAAGAGAGAGATGGAGAGAAGAATATTTGACTTATGCTGAAAAAAGAAGAGAGGGAAAATGTGCAGAGGAAGAAGATTGATTGATTGAGAAGAGGACAAAGGGGACAGGAGGACATCTGGACACTGCAATGGGTAGAGTTGGTGGAGTAGTTCCTGATTTTTAATGAAGACCTCAAGACTAGTGCAGTACCCAACTGGATGGAAAGAAAAAAAGGAAGTCACATGCAGGACTCGTGCAAGGACAACCAAACTTGCCACCAATCACCTTTTGCCACATCACCAAGAAACCAATTCCTTCTCGCCACATGAGCGGATGACCATTCCTACGTGGCATGGGAGCCTTCCCCGTAGTCTATATTGTTGATAAGTCGAGTTTTCTTACATCTCTTTTTTATCAAAATCCAATGGTTCGATCTCTCTCTCTTTTTTTTTTTTTTTATCAAAACCCAAATGCTTTTCAAAATGGCCCAGATCAATGAACTTAGTATCAAGCTCCAATCTTTTGTCCACTCCTGCCAACATAGTTGTAGAAAATTTGAAGGGCTGATAGTTTTCATGGGATTTGCACAACTTGAAAATTTTGTTTGAGACAAACTATCAAACAATTGTGCTCCTATAATAAGAGTCAATCTTAAAAAAAAAAAAAGAGAAAAGTTTTGAAATTTGAAAAGAATTAAGATGAGAAAATTACATCATATGGATGCTGGAGAGAGACTTCTCAATAAAATTTCCTAAGGTTGATGAAGATTCTCCTGGTCATCGAACAATCATACATCAGTGTTTTGAAAACCGGACCGGACCGGCCGGTTCGACCGGTTGAACCGCGAACCGGCCATGGCTCCGGTCCGGTTCAATGCCAGGTTTGACTTTGTCAAGAAACCGGTCAAAAACCGGTCGGACCGCGAAACCGCTGAACCGGATGTGAACCGGTTATTTCCGGTTTTTGAGTTTTCCTTTTTTTTTTTTTTTTTTTTTTTTTTTTTGCAAAATGTAGTTATCAAGATTCGAACTCAAGACCTTTGTAATAGAAGACCAATGTAGTAACCGTTGCACTATCACATCTTATTAGTTTTTTTTGATAACTTATTTATATAAAACAAACACTCATATTTCTTTTGTTCCATTTTTTTTATAAAATATCATCCTTTCATGACTCTTTCTTTTTAATCTTCAACACACACACACACACACACTCTCTCTCTATCATCTTTTCTTTTGCCACTCATTTTTTTAATCAAACCTCTTTTTTTTTTATTTATTGATGTTTTCTTCCATATTTTAATTTTGTTTTTGTCTATTAAATTTAAAAAAGTTAAAAAAGAATTATTTTTCTTTAACCCAATTTATTTAATATCACAACCACTCACTTTTATCTCATTTTTTGTTTCTTATCAAATTTGCATTTCTATTTTCAATTCTCTTGATTTTCTTCGAACTCCAAACTTCCTTTTTTAAATTGTAAATTTAAATTCCAAAATGTAAATTAAAATTTAAGTTCACAATGTCTAAATTTTCGTGGACGTGAATTTTGTATAATTTCAAATATTGTGATATTTTTGGATTATATTTAAGATTTTTTTGGTAGATATAATTGAAATTGAGATGAAATTTATTTGTTTTAACTTATAATTTAAAAAATTTATTTTTAAAAATCCAAATTATTCAAAAATAGTAAACTTTTCATCATATAAAGTATTAAATTATCCATTACATGTCTTATTTTGTACACATATATATTTATATAAATTATTTTTTAAAAAATTCATTGAACCGAGGTTGAACCGGTCCGACCGTTGAACCTCGACCCTTTCACTTCACCGGTTCGATTAACGGTCCGGTTTTTAAAACATTGTCATACATACAAGCATTCTTGAATTATTAGATAAAGCATTCGACTATTGTAGAATAAAAGTGTCAAATTTAAAATTTAAAATATTTTGAATGAAAATGTAATTCAAGAAATGGCAAGTTTTAGCTTTTCGGAGGAGTGCAGTTAAAGTTGAACGTTTAGCTTCTTAAGCCACAAAAATTAGTTATCAAATATTCTAAGCACTTTTAGCGTTTAAAAATTTTTTCCCCCCAAAAAGCACCGCAACTCAAACGGGCCTACTAAGTAATTTTAGCTTTCGCAACCAAGTTCCAACTTCAAAGCAGTAGGAAGAAAATACGTCATGCTACACAAGCCAAATTATAAATTGGCACTTTCCTGACCATTTTGCTTCCATATTTTATTTCAAGCAGAGAGGTATATTGACTGAACTGCAATAGAAGATTAAGGAGCTTAACCAAAGGCCTTTGTGCTCCCAGAAGATGTAGGCAGAGGAGCTTCCTTTGGTTTTAGGTGTTGGCCTGTTAAACGTAATGCTACTATCAGGTTTAATTTATGGCCAAAGGTCAATGGCAGAAACCAAATTCAAGGATACTGAGTGTAAAGTACTTAGCCAGATACAGATTTCAAGCAAAAATAAAGCACTCTACATACACTAATTCTCCAACAAAGGAGTAATCTGAATTCAGCCAGCACGTCAGCCTAGTTAAACCGCCTTAATGCTCAGAAGCATCCTCACCAAAAATATTCGCGTACCGAATTCCATAGCCAACAACATGAAATACAAGAAAATACATAAGCCGCCTAGAATTATACATGAAATACATAAACACACTTGAACCTAAAATTATACATTGTCCCTAAATAAAGCAAATTATTTGTCTCAAGATCCTACCAGGAAGTTCTCTCTCTGTTTTCTACCTAAGTCTATTCCTTTACACAACAGATGAGAAAACAAAATGGAATCTTTTATAAGCCACAAGTCTAAACCAACCCACCTCAAACAGAAGAAACAAAGCCAAGAATGAATTGCCGCCCAGCATAAGAAAGCCAAGAGAAATGACTGGTGATTGTACCTCCCTCAGCTCAGAAGTACAATCTTTGACCCCCAAATGGGTGTATGGATCAAGGCATGGAATCCACCTGCTTAGATGGCACATTTCCACACAACTGGCCTGGTAAGTATCCTCCTGCGCCATTGACAGAATCTTGTGTTACTTCCTGTGAGCTATTTGGCCTCTCAAAGCTGCCACTGCAATTTGATGCACAAGTTAGAGGCATTAGGAACTTATTGGCAGCTTTCTAACGTCTCAGCACAATGAGAAGGTAGAGAATCAGGTTTGGATGAATGGACGTACTGTGATGAGATGGCTGAACTGGAACATGATCCCATTGAATCATTGGCATCTGTCTTTTTCGCAAATCGTCCTCCAGAACCCCTTGCTCTTCTCAAAGCATGTGATGTCGGGACTCATGAAGGTATGGCTGCAAAATCAAATAACCGGAATGTATCTCACCAATGGCAGTTGCATCAATTACAGTTCTAGAGACTGAGAAAGAGAGTCAGTTGCAATTTACTCAATTTACACAACAATTTCAATTCTAATGAGAAAAGCAGCAAAAGGAGGTTAAGTCTTAAAATTTTCTGTTGGAGAAAGTAAATGATTGTACAAATTAATGAAAAACAAAGGACGTAATTACCACCCAGATTTTTCATGAGGCCAGATTTCACTTGACCCAAATGTCCAGTAAACAGCCAAAAAGAGAAATAAACAAACGCAGAGAATACACAAAAGCACATAATCCTATTAACAAAGAAGCTATAATTTATATTAATCACATGCTAACAAGCAGGAGTCCACTCAACACACGCACCACACAAAAGACACAAAAACAGAGTGAATTTTGAGAATGAAAGTATACAAACTATTTGTTTCCTTGAATCAGTACTCTGCCAACTTATTGCAGTGAGAGGACTCAAATCCTGTACCCCAAATATCCATTTAGTGAAGAGCAACTTTAATTGTCAGAAGGAATGCAGGAAAAATAAATATAAGAGCAAGAGGAAATGTGAGTAGAAAACTGCCTTTATACAGTCTCTGAAACTGAAACTCAACAACTAAATAACTAATGGGATTTGTTGACATATGTTGCCGAAACTAAGTAAAAAAATGCAGATCAAATGCTCCTGCAAGTACCAGGTAGGAAACACATGTACTTGAAACACCAACCTTGCGTGCTTTTATCAACTTCTTTTCAAGCTCAGCTTTGGCACGCGACTCTCTTCGTCGCAAAATCCCATGATACTGCTTGGCATTCACATAAACAGGCTCTTGTGTCATTTCAAGAGGAAGAGGCATCCTGGCGTGATGCATATCAATTAGTGGAGGATGAACCTGATCAATACAAAGTTTGCAGATTAAGCATCTCAAACCAGTAGCAAAAGTGAAATATTTTGAAACAAGCATGATGAGAGTCTACGAGATAGCCAGCTGGCTAAGAAGCACAAAGAAAACTAACCAAATACAACAGCGTACATAAATCGTCAACCAACAGTAAAATTACAAACATTAAAGATAGTGTTTTGCCTATATTCCAATATGATAATAAAGCCTGATAACCATCTGAAAGGAGAAAGTCGGCTTGAACATTTGAGAGAAGATTATGTGAAGCTAAGTAATCAAAATATGAGAAAAGGGGCAAAAGGACAACGAAAATAGAAGTCATCTTCTGCTGTCTACCTGCCACTTCTTTGCAATTTAAAACAATAAGTTATGCTTGTCTATGATTTTCCATTGTCTCCACAGGAAGAATAATATACAATTCTGTCCCAGAAAATCAAAACATACAAAGTGCAATAAAATGCTATGTCATAGTACTTAATGAAACTACAAAAAACTACACATACCAAAGGCTGCCCATAAGTTGCCACCATCCCTGCAAAATATGGATCAGGATATGGGTTTGAAGCACAAGCCTGAAGAGGAGGACAGAATAATAGGTAATTTCTCAGACAAGATATGTCTCTACCAAAAGATAAAGACCACATAAACAAGCATGTTTAGTATCCTCAGACT